GGCTTGTTTACGACACCGAAATCTCGCTCGACCCGCGCACTTGACGCTCGAATCTCTCTGGGTCACTGTGCCGGGAGTTGACACATAAGTGTCATGTGTCGGTTGCGTCACTCCTCAAGGGCCCGACCGTTACCGTAAGCCTAGGACGTAACAATACTATTTCGGCAAAAGAATAACGATATGGCAAATCATCTTAGCAGTATATTTGCAAAATTAATTTCACAAAGATTCACAAAGAAATTGTCCAATAATTGTGAAAAGAAATTCAGCTATGTGATGTTTAAAATATGTAGAAATATGATTGCATATGAAGAAATGCAAGAAATCATCGTCACTCATGATGTCATAGTTGTGCAATATTTTCACATTTGCCTATTAGAGATATATACTGTGAAAATGCATAACGACTTTTTTGCAATTTTTGACGAATATTATTTACAAAATTTTATTTCGACAAAACTGTTGTGTTATGGCAAATCATCTTAGTGCAATCATTGCAAAATCGTCGCCATTCATGATGCCATTTTTGTGCAATATTTTCACAAATGTGCCTATTAGGGTAGTTGCTGGGAGAGTGGAGGATGAGCACAGTTTCCCCTGCCTATACACTTACAACACAAGCATATAAAACTATATTTTTTAAAATGTTTTTTATGTTTGAGCGCATCTGGATCTTTATCGTTAAAATCACGCACCAAAAACGCTTTTTTACATATTTTTTCAAGATAGCGAGTTAAATATGTCCAGGCACAAAGAGTTCAGCGTTCTAACATAAAAACGGTTGAAGTTACATAAACACACAAAGGTTATAACCGTTTTGTAGAATATCTAATTTCTTACATGTTTTTGTTTGAAAAGTATTTTCATAACGTAAATACTTTTGGGGATAATTGTGAAAAACGCTTTTTTCTACATGTTTTTTCCAGATGGCGGCTTGAATATTTCCAACAAAAAAATTTTTTTATATTCGGTTTTAGCAACTAAAAATACATAAAGATATCCAGCTACACAAAAATCAAAGAGGAGGGAGCTTTTCTATAAGTTTACCAAATATCTTTACTATCTTTGTTTGGTTTTTCTTTTTTACAGCCGACTAGACATACAAAACTCAAGAAGGCTGATATTCTGAAAATGACGGTGAAACATATACAAACGATGCAACGACAGCATTTGAGCACGGCTGTCGTTAACAATCTGACGATGCTACCAAAATTCTGTTCTGAATTTTCCGAAAGTGCTACCGAAGTATTGCGATATATCAACTACCTCGATCCCGCTATCAAGCAACAATTGGTATCACACTTGAACAACTGCATGAGTCATCTTCAGCAAATGGCGCCGTTCTACAATCACTACGTGTCCTACATACCGGAACGCCTCTATCCGGAGGTAAAGGTCGGTTTCCAGAGCGATTTCCAGAATGGAGATAAAACTAACAACGGTAGCGCGAGAATACAGATACCGCATGATTTGCATGGAGTTCACTTAAACCCCAGTCGACTGCCGACCGACGAATGGCCACTCTTGGTATCGCAATCCGCCGGTATCTTTGCGAATTTCCCGCCAACCACGGATACATCTACCAGGATTGGTCAATCAGCTTTCACCGCGATTCAGAGACCGCACAGCCGGCTGCTGAACCCTTCGACTTCCACGTCTAGCTACGGCGACGGAAGTTATCACTTAGAACATCCGCATGCATCGTCACCCAATCATCATCAGCCGCAACATCGATTCAAGTTACTGGAGCAAAGTCCTGCGTCGTCAAAGAGCTTTTTGTCTTCATCGGAGACCCAGAAATCTCACATTAGCTCGAGTAGCAAGCGAAAGTCGCCGACCACAACATTTCTGGAACCTAAGCTCAAGGATAATGTCGCTACTAAAAAAAATTCCGCAGAAAGTACGGAGAGTACTAGTCATAGTAGCGGCTTTGCAGTGCACAGCTTGCGACTACCCTTTTCCGTGATTACAGACAAGACTTATTATCGCGCTCCGAATAGCTCGTTGCTCGTGCAAGACAGTCTTAGAAAACGGTCTCATTCCAACGAGATTTTGGCAATTTCAGATAAGAGACCGAGATATCAGGGACCCACTAGTTCGTACTTCTCAACAAATAATGTCGACGCGCTTAAAAGCACAAATGAACATTTGATTACGGCCGAGGATTTGCCGGCAAGTCAAAATTATCAGACTTCACGAAACACAAATACAAATTCCAATAAGTTTTCAATAAGACCGGCAGGTCCTTCCGGTTCTAATAACGACATGTGGAGACCTTGGTAATTACCGTTCCGAAAAATTTGAAGATATATTTTGAAAAATGGAAAACTGTACGCAACGTTTATACATTATGGTTAATATTAAACAATAAATTTTATATATTTATGTATACTTATAATATACAGAGTGTTTGATAAGTACCGTCTCACCGCTCGTAAGTAGGTAGAAGGGGTTATTCTAAGACAAAAAGTCCTATACCACTTTCGAAAATTCGCGCGCTATCGGCGCTGTTGCATCATTTTATTTTTATTGTTCGTTAGATGTAAAACAAAGATAGAATGAGACAATAGCACGGATAGCGCGCTGTCAGAACGCAGCCTATGTAAGGTACACATGTTATTCTATTAGCTCCTCCTATTCTGTCGCTACGGCACGTACGCACGAAAGACTGGGCTGTCCTCACGCTGTTTTTACCATGGTGTAATAATATAAGGTGTAACATTGCGCATAATGGCGGCGGCAATTTGGGTCAAAATACATCTGTAACAGAATGTGTCACATGGACACTATATATATTGGACGCCATATTCCAAGCATTTTGACCCAAATCTGATTGGTTGGCTACTGCGCATCCACGGAATGTTACACCTTATATTATTACACCATGGTTTTTACTCTGTATGCACGCTGATTAGCGGATCTTTATTTGTTAATATTTCGTTAATTATTGCAAATTTTCCAAAGTGGTATAGGACATTTTGTCTTAGAATACCTCCTTCTACCTACCTACAAGCGGTGAGACGGTACTTATCAAACACTTTGTATATATAAATGTATACATTCTTATTATATCTTTTCAAAAAACAACATTAGAGTTTATATACGTATGACTTGTCTTGAGCTCTCAATTTTCTAAAGAATGCATCAAATTACAATTGCCTTAACGGTTGCGTGCCATAAAATTGATAACACTTTTGATACCTTGTCATCTTGTAATGTTGTGTACGGACGTGTATTTATTGTTTCGGATTGGTGCACCTATGGGCTCTCCTCTCTCTCCCATTCTAGCAGACATTGTTACGTAAGACCTAGGCTGCGGTCCGTTTCATGCTTAATTGCGCATTTATCTGTAGTATATGTCACGTATACTATAGATAAATGTGCGCTTAAGCATAAAACGGACCGCAGCCCTAGAATCGTCCATTATCAACATGCTACCTTTTACTCCATCTTTACACATTACATACGTTGATGATATAGCTCTCATGTTACCTAAGGATCAATTTGACGTAGTTCTTACATATTACAATTCATACCACCCTCGACTTCAATTTACCATAGAAGTTGATCTTGACAGGCTGAACTTTTTAGACATCACTATCATAAAAAAAGATAACAAACTACTTCATGATTGGTATCACAAGCCTACATTTTCAGGCAGATATCTAAATTATTTTTCAAATCACCCTATCAGCCAAAAAAGAGGCACGGTCATAAGTCTCCTTGACAGAGCTTTCTTTTTATCACACCCGACTTTTTACTCAAAACATTTTTGTTTTTAACATTTTAATTGACAATAACTATCCATTTGACTTTATTTACAACACTTTTAAACAACGACGCAAGTTTTTTATAAATAACAACTCTAAGAAGTTCCTTCTGGACGATACGGAGAACAATGCACAGCCTCACTGGTTTGTGATACCTTATATCAATAATTTCTCAGATAAATTTTTAACAGCATTTTCTAAAGATTCTAATACACGTTCAGCTTTTTATTGTACTGACAAATTGTCAAAATTCATTAACATTTCTTAAAGATCCTCTACCCTATTCCTCGCGTTCTTCTGTTGTATATCAAATTAACTGCCGCGATTGCGACGCTTCTTATGTCGGTCAGACGGGCAGAATGCTACAAATTAGAATAAAAGAACATAAGTATCATATCAACAGAAATTCGTCTCAGAGATCTGTGATCACGGACCACAGAATCCATTTCTCTCACGATTTTGATTGGGATCATGTAAAAATTTTGGATTTTGAGAGATCTTACAACAAGCGTTTAATTTCGGAGACTCTGTATATAAAGAAGCAAAGACATGGTTTGAATTTACATAGCGACATCGAAAGTCTTGATAGATCTTACTTACCATTTGTCGATAATATATGTGTTTGAATGACGTCACATGATCGAATATCGTTGCGTTGATTTTCGTTTTGAATCTCAGCCCTTTTTAGTCGCTTCTTTATATTGTAAAGTGATGGTCGAACCTCTACCCTTACGAAAAAGAACTATTGCCGATTACATATAAATATTACTGGCAATTACACAAGAATATTATTAGGTATTACAGAAAAAATTATTGGATATCACAGAAAATATTATTGGATATCACAGGAAGTATTACAGATTATCACTGAGA